CATTGGTAGCTACATCGATTAGAAATCGATAACAAGAACCAAATCGAAAAATATCGATAACAAAATCGATAAATATCGATAAACAAATCATTATATATCGGTAACAAAAGCGATAAATGTCGATAACAAAATCTATAAATGTCGATAACAAAATATATAAATATCGATAAGAAATAACAAAATCGATAAATGTCGATAACAAAATCGATAAATATCAATAAAAACCAATAAAAATGTCGATTATTTAATCTATAAGTCTCGAGAATCTCGAAAATCTCTAAAAACCCAAAATAGTTGCCAGATTGAGTCTCTGTGCGCCTCTCTATATCCTACCCTCTTTAATTACCTTTATTTTAATCTTTCTTCCCCTATCTTCATCTTTACTTTTATGGGTATCCTCATCCTCATCTTTGTTTTTACTTTTATGTTTATCATTTTCTTCATCAACATATTCCCCTTCACCTTTGCCCTTATATATATAAGTAAAGTTTTTAAATTTACCTTGGTCTTCGTTTTTACCTTTATCTTTACACATCTTTGTTTTTGTTTTTATTTTTACCTTGGCCTTTATAATTTGCTTTATCTATGTACGTACTCACCTTTACTTTCATTCTTGTATTGTTATTTGTAAGTGTTATACTCTAACCTTTTATTGCAAGTTTTTGTTAAATTCATACCATATGCATACTCACACGAAGTACTTGTTTCAGCTCCAGCCATTTCCGTTGCTCCATTTCCGTTGCATCATGTCCGTTGCATACACACAAGAAGTTCTTGTTTCAGCCCCAACCATTTCCGATGCTCCATTTCCGTTGCACCATTTCCGTTGCATCATGTCCGTTGCATACACAAAAGAAGTACTTGTTTCAGCCCCACCCATTTCCGTTGCATCATTTCCGTTACACCATTTCCGTGTGCAATTTCCACTGAATTTGCCAATTTACTCCCACCCAACCAACCGCCGCTAAAGAGGTTTCACTTCAAAAAGATATTGTTGAAAAGTGAAAAAACCAAAATTTTTCAGTAAATACTCAAACAAAATTAATGAAAGTTAATTAGTAATTTTGTATTAAAATATAAAATAGGATAAGTTAAAAATTTTGGTGAAGAGGCGTGACGCTGCCCACTTATAATAAAAAGTTTATCTCCGTAACCACTTTGCTAATCTCGGTAGATGCATTGCCAGGAATAAGCATATAAGCATCTTTAATAGTTTCATCGTCCACATTTATCCTTGGTTTATAGCCACTTTGTCCTGATGACCCATCACAGGATCATCAAATCCCATTTATTAATCAAAGTTAGTCGCTCTGGCCTTGATTTCAACTTTCCAAAACGACTGTTGTTAAACAATGTATTCATTGCATATAGGTTTATATACGCAAATAACTAATCATGAAACGCTTTCCTACCTGTTACACATTTTGCATATTGAGGAGAGAATGTCAGGTTGTTGCCTAAGCGAACGACGTAGCACTCAACGTTAGAGGAAACTCCTTCGATACTCTGTACGACCTTAAATGGGCTTACCTGAAAATGGGCACACATTGGTCTGCTACCTGCAGACTGGATGGCAGAGTTGAAGAAGGTGTATTCTGTCAGAAGCTCTCAATAAATGTTCAGGCTGCAGGATCTCGGCAACGGCTATTAGGCAGACAATGACATTCTCTTTTGTTGGCTGTTCTATCAGACTATAGTTTGCAATGGAGCGAATCCATGCACTTTATAGACTCCTCTCTGCCGTATTTGACCAGTTGGACGGAGACTACGTATCGGATCCCTGTGCATATCCCTACATCGATCGCTATGGGTGGCCTTATAGATCCAAAACTGAAATATTATCTTTATGACTTTTGAGGTTTAGCGGAAAATTTCTTAGTCTTGACATTATTGTGAACGCTTCGTAGACTATTGTTTCCCTTAATATCAGGATTTCCACCACTTCTTTATATTTCCGCAAGTTGTAAATATCAGCAGCAACAATGACAAAAAAACGTCATACTACCATTTTACTACTTCAGCGGCAGAAGTTATGCCTCAGTTGACATTTTCACTAAGCCAATACCAAGTGATGATATACATACATACATATGTATATACATATGAATGTATGCTTGTACTCTATGTATTCGCGCGCTTTGAGAATTGTTTGATACCTTCAATTACCCCCTGGCGCATTACAATTGCGGCTGCATGTCTCTCCGACTCTGTTTACTGATCTCCCCAAGCGACATTTATTAGCTGAAATATTTGCACACCTCTGCGACAAGTTAGTCACACAATAGGAGCATTTCACCTTAAGTAGCTAAGTTAAGAGGCTTGTGCCAGTATGTGTATGTAACATTGTACCGAGGAGAGTGACAGCATTCACAAAAGCGTACAGGTATGTATGAATTGCACGCGCTTTTATGTGTAACTGTAGGTTGACGTATAGGTTCAGGTGATTATGCTTGAAAACAGGTTCGCTGTTGTCATTTGTTATTTATCTTGTAAGTACCTTCTCTAGGCAGTTTGCTTATTAACTTGGAATTCTACCGGTGATTAAAAAATATTTGGCGCTTAAATTTTTCTTAACTACGTTTCAAGCTTCAGCGTCTCAAATTTGAATAGCTCAGCTGGCAATGCATCTACTATAGCAGGCCTTATTAGTTTTGATACGTGTTAGAGATGTGAGTGGCAAAGGTACATCAGTATTTTTTAACTCGATGCATTGAATGCATATCGAAATTTTTCGATACGTAGAAAGGCAAACAATGATCAACAATTTGCATAGAGTTTCTCAAATAAATATTTCACAACAAAATATGTTATTAGCAAAAATGTATAAAATCTAAAATTAATTACTGTAACTGAGCTAATCATGTTACTCTCGGAACTTTTTGGAGCAATTTTTTAGTCAAAGTTAGTTCCCATTTTTGCACAATTGAAAAACTGAATTGGCGGTTCAGTGTGCTAGAGATATCAGTTTGCTTTGCCAAAAAACATCGATACTTCGACTATTTATACATCGAGTGGAAAATTTTCGTTTGATCGAATGAAAGCAATGATATTTTCGCTGCCTCCATGTTTTTCCGACATCTCTAATACATGCTATTGCTATATGAACTGTTTATTTGGAAAGTGGTATAAATCACTTCACACCTCTTGTGCTTAATTTACCGGTTACTTGTATTATCTCAACGCGTCGGTTATTCGTTCAACTTCATCAACGGAAGGCAAAAGGTTTTGTCATTAGCTTATGAAGGTAAATAGAACGATCGATTTATAGACAAATTCGTGAGCAGCCTTATTATTTTTGATACGTGCTATTGCTTTTCATAATAGATAGGTAATGAAATACCGGTTACGTCATCGAGTTTCTTGAACATTTTAAGTGATTTTGTTAATATTGATTTTTCGAATACCGAGTAAACCGGATTTTTACATGTGAATAAACCGGCTTTTCACCAAGTTTAATCATATGCCAGAATCTAAAAATTCAAAATGTTTATTTTGTTGAAAATGGAACGTTATTAATTTTATAACTGAATACTGAAAATGTTTCCAAAAAATTACTTAAAGAATAAAAAGGAAAACCGAAGGAATATATTTAATTGTTGCTTTTGTTGTAGCAGTTTACTAAAATCTGTCTAAATGAATGAATTTTTCACAAATTTTTAATGTTTTGCTTCTAAATAAAAATACTTCGAATTTTTATTGCGTTATTTTTACAGCCGGGTTCACCAGCAATTTAAATGGAAAATGATTTATTATTTTCTGTAAATTTCCATATAACATTCAAAAAATTAAAATCATAAACTTAAATCGCTTTCGTGATATTGGCTGTTAGTAGTCATATTGCAATTTTTGCCTAAAATAAGGTGTTTGAAAAATTAGTTTCTTATTTAGAAAAATTAATTTCCTAATTTGGAAAATGTAATTAGAAAATTTACAAATTGCCATTTTTGGAATAACTCGAAAGCCGGGTTTCGAAAAAGGCGAAAAATCGAACACTCTAATATTCATACATGTGTACATTTTAGTGGTAAGTGAAAAACTATATACATAAACTTTATTTCATTGTTTACAAGTTGTATATATGCACATGATGGAATTATTTAAATAATTTTTCAAGAGCAATTTAAAGGGCTGTCTGTAGTTCTCACTAAAAAGCACAAGAAATATTTTTCATTATTTCTGTTGCTTGAAAATTACTCTGCTGCCTGCAAGGTGATTAACCACTCAGAAGGCTCTCCTTTAAGGTACTAAAGTTCAAAAAATATAAACAAACGTTTAAAAATATATATATATATATATATATATATATATGCTTTGTTTTTCAATTTGACATTATAGGATGATTCTTATGAGAGCAAAGTCGAATTCAATTAATATAATAATAGATTGGCGCTTACACATATCTTAGTGTTTGGCCGAGCTTCTCCTCCGACTTGTGTAAACTTCAAATGCCTAAGAAATTTATTAAGGGGGTTCGCAAAGTATCATCAAAGTCATATTATGAATTTTTGCAGTTTTAAAAAATAGTTGGTTGTCGTTTCAAGTTCTCTAAACATTTAGAGTTTAGCTTTTAGAGTTTACGACACACAACAATACAACACTTACGACTCCGTTGTGAATCCCTCAAATGACTTTTAGAAGGTAGTTTCACTTCTTCTTCTTAATCGGCATGTTAGTCGTCTGACAGAAATCGTGTGTCGTGTTTATGTGGTACAAATTACAAAAAAAAAGAAACAATCCAGCTTTGACGAGGAGGTTATCAGTTCGTCGGAATATTTTTTTTTTTTATTAATAAATTTTTTATTTTTTTTATGTATGTTACCGCATAACTTTGGACCACGTCAACCGATTTCGATAATTCGGAAAGGTAGTGTCTCAGAGGTGGTCCCATACTAGTTTGGTTTAGATCCGATCATTGAATCATGAAATATATAGATATATATATATATTTTTTTTTTAAGTCGGTTTTTTTTGTGCTAAAAATTACTTGTTCATTTAAATTGTTGGTAAACCGCCAGTATTTAATTTTACTAAACACCATTGAAAAATTTCCCAGTATTTATACAAAGATTTGGATATTTGGCACTCGGTGTACTTTCATAGAAATCGCACTCCGATGCTGGCGAATCTCCTTTCTTGTACATAAAGGTGCCTGCTATATTGGTTTCAGAGTAATCACAGCTAATTTCCACACAATAATTGTCACCAGAGCATTTTTCACATAATGCTATACCACAGCCCACGAAGGCGGCACGTTCATTTGCCATTGCCGAGAAATGACCAATGTCATGCCAGTTTGCAGCGCTGAAATTAAATAAAAATATATATACAGTGTCGGACAAAACTATTGGCACCGAGAATTTTTCGCAATTTTTGTATGTATCTATGCAAAGTTTTATATTCTAATTTATTCTCGATCATTCTTTATAAAAATTGTGTACATACATACACAAAAAAAATCCTTACTAATATTATAAATCCGAAAGTAAGTTTGTTTGTTTGCTACGCTTTCACGCTTTAACTAATCAACCGATCATCATGAAATTGTCATTCTACATCATTGTACACTGCTGTCATTTATCCCAACTTAAAATAAAGGATAAATTTAATCACGATTAGACAATGGGGGCGTGGCACCTCCCATACAAATGGAATTTTTCATACTGCATTACTCAGGAAATATTTTGGATATATTATTGGAAGTTTGTGTGGAGATATATAAAATCATTATTTACTCAGGGATGAGGGCTGCCACCTTTTAAAAAAATCAAATTCAACTGCAATTAAGGGAGTTATTCATTTCAAAATTATATTATAAAATGGATGTCAAGAGGCTTAAAAAAGCTTTAGTTTGAATAAATTTTGAAAATGGTTGCCACCTGTTGGAAAAGTCAAGTTTAAATTAATTATACGCAAGCTATCTGAATAATTAAAAGATGGTTGCCTAACGAAATATTGTTAAGAAATCAATAGTTTGAAAGTTTTGAATAATCTTTAAGTCTTTCACAAGGGTTGCCACCTTTTTAAAAATTAAATTAAATTATTTTAAATTAAGTATTACAGTAAAAGGCGCGCAATGGTCCTCGCGGTTGATTTGTCGGTGGTGATTTGAGATTTACCCCTGCACAACTCAACCCTGGTGTCTCCGAATGAAGCTTCAACACATAATAATACTGGAAAAACACATCCATTGGGCCAATCATAACACACAAGAGTTCGATATACTCAGTGGTGCAGCAGATCGATTTAATCTGTTATTCACGGCACTTTTTCTAACTTGGCGATTTGCCAAAGTGGATCATAAATAAGATTTTTAGTAATAACTTAACTCCAGCGCCAACTGCAAAGTGAAATTGTGAAACTACAATATCCTGAGAGCCACTCAAAAGCACACAAAAAACTTTATTTAAATCGTTCGGGGCATTTAGGAGGATTTCACTCACAAACACACATACAAAAGAATTATATGTATATGTTTGTACGGTGCCACGCCCTCTTTCCAAAGAGCCCATTTTTCTCCATGAGTATAAGATTGATTTCATATATCGCCGGACCAAGTTCCAGTATTTTACCATGAACACTTACAGAGATATGCAATATGAAAAAATCGGTTTGTATGGGAGGTGCCACGCTCCCTTTATATGTCGAAATTTTGTTTAGCCTATAACCATCCTTGGGGCATCTGGGCCAGGTGTCTGAAATTTCAAGAAAATCGGTGCGGCCGTTTTCGAGTTTTGCGAACACATAAAAAACGGCTTCAAAATATATATTAGTATAGAAGATTGGTATGAATCAAAATGGTTTTGAATATGTATCACAATATGTATCACGTAGGTAGCCATCTTTTTAAAAGGTTAAATTCAAACTATTCAATATTTTAATTGATTTATTATAATATGGGCATCAATCGAAATGGGTTTTCAAGGGCTTCATTTCAATATTACATGGAGAAGGTTTCCATCTGTTTAAAATCTCAAATTCAGTTCAGGGGATACGTTAATTGAAAAAGTATGACAAAGAAAGTTTTTGTTTGAAAATATTTTGAAGATGGTTAAACAAATTTTAGACCTCCTCTTTTTTAATTGAGTTTTCTTGAAATAAATTTTACTCAATAAAGCACGTAGAAATTTCATACTCAGGGTAGCGGGTGAGGGCGATCTAGTATAATAATAAAATCTCTAAACTTTATGCTAAACTAAGAAAAATTGCAATAAATTTGCATTCCAATTTGCAACTTTCTATTCAAATTTTCTAGAAAAATGCTAAGTACGCAGTTCTAGCCCATTTCATTTTTTTCGAACGGTGTTAGATATTTTCTTTCCAAAAAAAAATCGAACATATTTAGATACTTTGTATGCAATAAACTGCGTAAAAGAATTGTCAAAAATCATGGAGATTTTCTAGCAGCTTCAAACTTGTAATTTGTTATACTAAAATTGAATGGGCTATCAAACTGCATATTTCGAAATTTTCTAGAAAATCTGTATAGAAAGTTGGTTTTGGTATGCAAATTTATTGCATTTTCTTGAGTTCTGCACAAAGTTTAGAGATTTTATATTTATGTATATAGAAAAATTTTCTGTTCCAATAATTTTGTTTATACCTGTATATGCATATATACATACATACATATAAAGTAATTAAATCATTTATAGCAATATGTTTCGTTTTAAGGATAAGATTTTAAACTTGGGTCATACAAATCCTACGACTACCTAAATTCTTATTTGTGTGATTTAAAAGACAAGATAATAAACCCAAAGCTATACCTGAAATTCACTAATACATGTACTTAACTTTATGTGTGCCTTTTTCTTGCACTCACCCTTCTGGGAACTTTTCCACCATTAAATTTCCATCGTCCACCAATTCAGCTTCGCTCCACCAAGCCTCCACAGAACTTAGTGCCTCTTGAGACATATTACTGAATTTTTTTCGGCCAGCTATTATGTACAAATTTTGTCCAGCGCCTGGAAACCGTTTCGTGGAGCGACATTTATCGTGCATCATGTGGCAACGTGAAGCATGCTGCCCAGCTATGTATGCCAATTCATCATCCCACAGCACTTCTCGCATACGGCTGGCGATAGGGAATTTACCGCCGCCTTTGAATACCTGCTCACCGCCAGCCAATTTGTTGCGGAGCTCATTGTGGCTATCTACAAATAGTCGTTTTATTTTGTTCGTTAAAGGTGCAAGAGCTAAAAGTGTGCCGTCAATGGGCTAGAGATTAGAAAGGAATCGATCAGTATTTTTGCTGAGGTTTTGTTAAGTGGATATAGAAATACTACAGTTACTTGCCACAGTTTCGGGATGACAAATAATATGTTGCGGATTTCTTCCACAAAGCTCCTTTTGTATCGCCTCACCACAATAATAGTAAGCGTTGGTATCAGCTAAGCGCAGTGCCAGAAAAAGTAACAACAAATCACGGTAGCTTGAAAGCGACATTTCCACAAAACTCTGGAATGCAAAAACTACAGGATAAGCCTACAAAATATGACTGAAATTCACTGCTTGTTGTAAGTGGAAATGATAAAATGATCATATTTTTTTTTTAAGTAAATATTTCAGAGTGACTTTGATAACTTTGAACTAGCGATTGATGTCCATGATACAAACAACAAAGTAATGGAGGACGATAAAGTTCTCGAATCCTTAATCATTACATGGTGTGGATGTCCTATCACCTAGCCAGGTGTAAATAGCAAACGAGATTTTCAAGGAAAACAAACGTATAGGGGCTGACCGTTTGCCAGCGAAGCTATTTAAGTATGACAGGGAGGAGCATGGCAGAAAATTGCTCGAACCAATTCATAGGAGATCCTGCGTACTTCGTCTTATAAGGTTTTGTTGAGCATGTGAAGGACTGAAACCCACCGTCAACTCTTAATTATTGGCTTTTGTCAATTCGGCTTCTGAACATACATAGAATATAGTACCTTCACGCTTTGACGCCTGGAAACGACGTTTGGCTTATTTGAACGCCCAGCCAACCCAAATCCAAAGTTACCCTAATAACATGTCCCCACCAAAAAGTTAACCATCTCAAACCGAACTTAACCACATCACTAACTATTGCTGTCCACACTGCGGTTTGAAGTTTATAAAACAGTACAAATGTAGAGAACAGTGTTCGGACCTGCAAAACTCGATTCAGAACTAAATCGCTGCAAAAATCGGAGCAAAAACCAATTTTCCGTTCTGGATTGAATTTTTTATTTTTGTTTCTGACGTTAATTGCTTGACTAAAATATTTTCTATTCATGCAAAGTAAGAACGCGAAGTAATGTAAAGATAATATGTTACATATTTAGGTAATTTTTAGCATTTTCTATAAAGTAGAACGTATTTAACACTTAATTTTTTAAAAAGAAAACCTTTTCTACTTTATATAATCTACATATACTTAAGTAAAGTTCTGCATCCGCCAATTTGTACAGCCGTACATCGAAAAATAACGAAGTTACTTTATTGACGCATTGCTATGAAAGAGTTACTTTTTAACATTGAGATTTGGCTAACTTTCAATTTTTTTACTGAAACCGGTGGTGAACACTCAAAAAACGGCCCCTAGAGGGGCATAACATGAATGAAAAAAATGGAATACATTTGAAGTCAAGCGGAGTAGAGGAGTAGATTTCAATTTCTTCAAAAACCGCAGTAAATCTTATCTGATCTTAGTTGAGTCCAAACACTAGTAGGGAACGAATTCTTTACATTTTAACGCTAATGACCCACAGATGGCGGGCAAACACAGGGTTGTATCAGACTTTCGACGTGGTTTCGAGTTGGTTAGCTTTTAACCGTCTCAGTGAAATGGTTAAGTGCTGTCATTTTTATATTGGCGAAACTACGCTAAATCAAGTGGGTTATCGGGATAACCAACTCAATAGCCATAACTACGTGGTTAGCTCCGGTGGGGACATGGTATAACAGAAAATTCCAGTACAAACTCCTTTCCTCTATTTATATTCAGGACCTGAGCGAAGTGTCAGACGTCCCTTGCCCAGTATCAGCCTGGCTGATCGCCCTTCACAAAGCCCGCCGCAAACGTAGTGCTTCATATACCGAGCGACCTGCTGAGCTTTTCAAACTTTATCTGGGTAGAGCGTGTCTTTGCTCGGTCGGACGACCCTTTTTTCTCCGGCCCTCATGCAATCAATTATGCACACAAGCAATTAGTCTGCAACGACCTTGAAATGAAAGTCCCGAGCTTCTTAAACATCCGACAGGAGTCGCTTCTTTTACCTAAACGAGACTCTCCAGTCAGTGAATAGCCACAATGCTTAGTCAGCCTTCAGTGAAAGATCACAAAGCTAATTTGATGACCGAGTGTCCTGTGATTTCCAGTTAGCTAAGTTCAGAGGGCCAGAGTGTTGACAAGCGTAAAGGCGAAGCATTGAAACAGGCCGAAATCGGTTCAGCAGAATCGCCAAAGGAAGGCAAAAACTAAAGTTTTAATAACCGGACGTTAATTGTGTATCAATCCTTTGGGTAACGGTAGTTTTTCAACTTGAACCAATTGATTCATGACTGTAACTTACCCTTAACACGCTCCCGCCCGCTACTAGCTAAAAAAATTAATAAATTAAATACAAAAAAAAAAACAAACGATACCATTAATGAATTCTCGCCGCCGTCCGGTGTGCTTACTAAGAAATTCCTTTGAAATTTTGTACTTTAAGTTTTATACTTTAAGTGGAAAGAGACACAAATGACATTATTATTAGACAAGTTTTCAAAGACCCTTCGACTTAGCTGCACAACAATCCGCTATCCGTTGCTTTGTTCATTCGCCACGTTTAATGAAGTGAAAAGTTGTTCATAAATTTTCAATAACGATATAACTTCAACTCGCCGATGCCTTCATAAGCTCCAGCACTCACACACCACACTCACTGAGGGACAATAAAAACTGTTGAACTTGTTTTCAATATTTGAAATCTGCGTAAGCTGCCGTTAAGAGGGGTGTGGCGGGCGATGATGCCGATAGAGTGTAAAGCGAAAATCTGTAACAAAGTTAAATGAAACAAAAGGCAAACACAAAAGATGTTAAGTGAATAGAAGAAAAGGTTAGTGAAAGTGTGGCATTTGACGGTGTAAAGTTAAATGATAGGGTAAGTTAAGTAAAAAGCAGCTGGGTACCTACTGGTTGGCTTGGCTGCTTCAAGCAAAATTTAATGTCACTTTTTAATCGAGGCTTGAGCTTTGTAGGTAATATTGGCTGTTTATACGTGAATACATGTATATGTACATATGTATATGTATAAGTATATTCGTATATATACATATGTATATCTGTAAACCATTAATTTGACTTTCTTGTTTTTGTAGTATTTGTTTGTACATACATACATATATCTATTTTAAGTGAGCAAAGTTCTTCGCGTTCGAGTGTCTGAAATGAAGTGTCCGGCCAGCACGTCAAAAGGTTCCTGTAGTCAAATTCCTCCATTCTCCCTCTCCCAAAAGATCCATGCTTTAAACCTACTTTCTTGCTCTTTACTTTCTGATTGTTCTTTTGTGGTGGCAGGTGTTTAATTAAGCATTTCATTTGATGGCTAAGTGTGCGTGCGGGCGTATAGATTTGCGGGCTGCTGGCTGCTGGTACGAAAGTTATATAAAAGTCGTACAATTTAATAAGATTACGGTTGCTGGTAAGAGTACAAAGTTGAAAGTAAAGTGATAATAGCTATTTAATTTTGTTCAAAATATTAATACGATTTCCAAATTGTAATTATGTATTACAAAGGTAATTATTTACGAGTAGAAAGTCTACCGCAATTATGCTTAATTTCTGATAGCTACTAGAAAGAGAACAGAGATTCTTTTCGTAGATTTTGGTTAGTTATTTCAAAAATGACACAGCAACAAAAAAAGTAAAAATGCCTGTAAAGAAACCTTTTAAAATTTGACAATATGAAATAAGAACTTCTAGCTCCAATCACCTGGAACAATGTGACCTGGCTCCGCCTTTCGACTATGATTTGCAGCTAACGTACTGCATTTGTTGTTGCTTCAGCTGATGTTTGCAGTATTTTTCGACTTGATTGTGGGGAGGTGATACTCAGGAGGTAGGCGAATTTTGCACCTACTCCTGCTTTATTAGAACACAGGCCGACCTCAGAGAACAATCCGAATCCTGTCACTGCTAAGTTGATGGTGCAGGTGCGGTTGAGACGACTACTAAACCCATTTAGGAACAACCATGGGACCAAGACCAATTTTAAAAGCATCTAAATGTTCGGAATTGAAATGGCGGCTATGAGAGTCAATGCATTAGAACCGAAAAATGGGATAAAAAATAAAAAAAAATGCTGAAAACAGCTTCAAGCGATTGGTGGATGTCGAAACCGAATCCGAGAGTTGAGTCCTCTACAAAGGAAATCCCAAACCCACGAATACGAAATCGTCTCTTGTAGTCGGCCAGAGGATGGTCTGCATAGCCGCTTCAATGGTTTAAGTCACTGTATTGCATCGATTTCGCCTGCGATATTGCTCAAAAACCACAGTTGGGGCGGCACTAGCTCGTCAAGCTAAGCTCGAGGCTGAGGCCTTACCTTTCACTTACGGGTAGGTGTCTGTTTCCTGCCACCTTATAAGAGAAATTGAGGAATCCAAATATCCGAGCAAGACTGTATGAGTAATCTGTCTAGAGAAGTCTGAGGACCTCTGTTGCGAGCGCTGATACTCCTAATATACAATATCTAATTCCCGCCACCGATATCAAGAGTGTAATCAACTAAAGCATCTAAAAGATTATACTCAGGATCGCCGAAGACCATGTTATGTAAGCGGATCCTCTGCCTCTAGAGGCATCGGTGAAAAGGAAGAATAATAAACTATAGACGACGAGCGTCCTCTTACTAGGGGTCCGTTGCCAGCCTTGGACGACCTTCCAATTAACCTCAAACCCTGCGGCATCTGCCAACTTTTAAATCTACTTTGAGCGAGGCGGAGCTGACGCGGTCTTTACCAAGGGTTACGAGCTTCCAATTAACGGCAGTGAAATACGCATGTAAAATTAAGGTAGTTTAGGTTTAGGTAGGTTAGGTAGGGTGTGTTTGCAATATTAGTTTTGAGATGAGAGTGTCACAATGGCATAGATTGTTTATAAAAACAAAAATGAAATATTTCAAAAAATCTCATTTTCAGCTAAAATAACATTTCTATTATTAACTCTGTTGCAGTGACATGAAAAATTATGAAAATTGTAAAATTTTTTTTTGACATTGAAATTTAAATTTGGATGAAGTAGTTGATGTAAATTAGCAAATCCAAATCGTTTGTATGTACATATCGCTCATTTACTTCAATAGTGTCATGAGTAGAGATCACTTTTTAATCAAGGGAACTGATAGATATGAATATATATATAAAAAAAAGTATACAAATAAGTTCGGGCGAAACCGAACTTTATATACCCGGCGCGGCGCAGGTATCAAATA